AGGTCCCTGCTGCGTCCCTCTTCTTGCTGCTTCCTCTCCAGCACACCACAGCACAGAAGAGGACACTGCCCACCACACACGGGTAAAACTTGTGCAGCAGTTTTTTGCAGCAGCTGAAGGACCCCAGCCCTCTCAGGAAGTACAGACGGATCTGTCCTTTCCTGTAGAGGTGACCAGTCCAACCTGTCGTGTCATAGGCGATAACAAAAACAAACCAGCTAGAACAGCATCTCCTGGATGTAGTTTTTATCAGTGGCGTCCGAGGAAGAGAGTGATGTAACGGTTTGTTTTTGGTGGCATAGTGAACCTCATTTACCTCCAAACACTCCTGATTTTATTTTATAAAGAACGCCTTCATGGACATCAGAGAATTCAAATTCTGCCCTTGGATGTTTTCACTCCGCGGAAAGTGAAAAACAGCAGTGCAGCAATCCAATGAATTCATATCTGAGAATTAGACGTTAGAAAAACAGAATCCTGAGTGTTATGTAGGGCATAAATAATTTTAAATACACATGATGATCATTTACCACATGCACCATTATTACAGGTTATATTGTAGCTCTCCAGTTTCCCTCCATCTTGGACTGACATTAATGTGTTCTGCATGCTGGTGTCAGTATCCTGCTTTGAAGGTGCGTCTCTGCAGCAGGACTCCCACTGCCTCTGGATGTCTTGGTAACAAGAATACAGGAAAAAAAAAGAAAAAATTCAAAGAAAAAATCCTGAACCAAAACCTGCTGCAGTCTGCAGAAACCCGCCCTGTGGGAGATTTGTTTTTCAAGCATGGCAACCAACAAGCCAGAAAATAACGCCAAAATGATTTTTAATATTCTGCACAGAACGAGTCCTGGAGTAAGACGGACGTCTGCAGCTTTGGTGTGTTTGTTATCTCTGTGGTTACATCAGGTAATGATTTAATGTGAGGCAAACCAGGACTAAGTCTGTTTGTGGAGCAGGATAGTTACAGCAGTCTGCCCCTGAACGCGCTCCTCTGCCTGGTGAAGGGTGCAGAGGGATGGAGAGCACCTGGTCTAGAGTCCTTCTGTCTGCCACCGTCACCACAGAGTCCAGCTCAGTGCCCCCCCCCCCACACACACACACAGAGCCAGCCCTCCTCGCCAGTCTGTCCAGGTCCCTCTTCTTGCTGCTTCCTCTCCAGCACACCACAGCACAGAAGAGGACACTGACCACGGGTAAAACTTCTGCAGCAGCTTTTTACAGAATCTGAAAGACCCCAGCTCTCTCAGGAAGTACAGACGGATCTGTCCCTAACCAAAAATAATAACTCAAATAATTTAAATAATACTGGACAGCACCTTGAAGCTAAACAAACAGTGTTCCTTAAAACAGACAACAAAGATACTGAACAGACGCAGAAATGTTTTCAATATGTGATTGGTCAACACTACTCGAATACAGAACCCTTCCTGTTCTTGAATCCAGATACCCGCCGACACCCAGATTATTTTAGAATCTATAAAAACGGAGATTAGTGTAACTTGAACGTTGACGTTAATCTCCAAACACCCGATTTGTAGGGTTTCTGTTTTTCAGCTTCCTCTCCTCAAACTCCAGGAAGTCGCTCGTCTGTTCAAACGTTTTTTTTTTTCTGACAGCTGCTTGGAATCAGACTCACAGTGTCAGTCAGCACGTCGTCATATCAGTGACTGCAGGGCCACTCTGTCATTACAGCCTTCACTAAACTCATTGTGTTCTCGGCTAATGGACGCTAATAGAATTAGCTTTCACCAAAGCATCTCATTAGGAGCTGTGTGCTCGGTTCTTCACTGATGACAGCAGCACACGCTCACTGAGCGCGTGCACGAGAACAGTCTGAATGATTCCGACATCAACGCCGGCGCGTAAGGACGAGTCTGATTGACCTGAAGAGAGCAAGAGAGTCTGAATCATGACTCAACCCTGTGAGAGCTTAATGAACTCATCCTGCAGGAAACAGCTGTGGGTCTGTGAGTGTTCGACAACAAACACTTCTGAGTACGTCAAATCCCCGCTTCCTCGAGAAATGAAGCTCACCAAGACAAATGTTTACAATTCCCTTCTTTTCATCCAGAAGTTTGGACTTTTCTTGACCTCTTTTATCTCACCAATCAGGGCAAAATGATGGAACTGAACACGTTTTTTCAGTCGTCCATGAGGCAGTAGAGGCAGAGATGTGATTTTCACCCTCCACGTTGTCCATACTGTAATTCATATTACCCCCCCCCCCCGGCTGGACTACTGTAACGCCCTCTACCTCGTCAGCCGTCCCTGTCTGGCCTGCCGATGGAACAAAACGCTGCAGCTAGACTGTTAACCGGAACCAGGGAGAGAGAAAGCATCTCTCCTGTACTTGCATCTTTTCACTGTTTACCAGTCAAGTACAGGATTGAGTTCAAGGGTCTTTTATTTGTTTTTAAAAACCCGTACATCTCTGAACTCCTCCACCCGCTCTCCCTATACCAGACCTCTCAGGTCATCAGACCGGCTGCTCCTGGCTGTTCCTCCATCGAGGCTAAACGCCGGCGTTAACGCTCTGGAATAGTCTTCCTCTTAGTATGAAGTGTTCCCGTTTTCACATAATTATGAAGTCTGCTGGATTCAGGAGTTAAGTTACAACATTGCTGCATTTTTTTATTTGGTTCGATTTGCTTTCACACTGCACTTTGTCAGTGCACCAGAGCCTGTCGCATGTTGTGTACTGTAGCCACCCGCCACTAGTTAGGGTTCTTTAGCTCCGGTCAGTATAGCTGCTGCCACCCGGCCTCATGCTGAACTATGACCCCGAAGTAAACAGCAGGTCAGTGGAAGAGCGGCATCCTGTCGCGCAGCGCAGTTTGTCAGTATTTAGATCTGTAAAATGGGGATGGAATAATATGTCGGCTGTGTCAGGTTAAACTGGCAGATCGACCGGCCTGATGTGTAACCACGTTTATAACAGGCGGGAGCACATTAACCTGCAGGGAAGACTGAAGGCCGGGGTTATTAGCAATGCTAACATTAGCCATGCTCGTCAAACCTATCCGTGACATCGTTTACAGACGGCCAAATTCAACCCACAATGCACTGGCTGTTTGGTTCACTTCCCTTGTTTGGTTCAGATCGCGTTCTTGCTTACGGTAAAAACGAACTCTGGTGCACTTGGAAGCGGACCGAGACCCCCCCCCTTTTTAAGCGGATCAGAGTTAAGTTCTTTGGTCTGCACCAGAGCTCATTTGAGCGTTCACACAACCCAAAACCAAACCAACGACCAAACGACCAAACCAGCTCAGGTCTGAATGCAGCCATGTACCCCCCCCCAATTCATCCTCACAAAGAATATTTCTCAGTATGATTTCTGTTTCATCCAAAACGGACCTTTGAAGTTCCTTTCAGAGCTGGAACAGGACGATATATTTCAGTGTCTCAGAGAAGCTCATCGTTGGACCGAGTCAGTCTGAGCAGAGTGAAACATGTCGAGATCTGAGTGAGGATTTCAGTTCAGAGTCCTGAGCGGCTCCCTGCTGGGCGCTTTAAAGACCGACTCTGCAGTTTTAGAGCCGCTGCTGATCCGTCTGCTGGGACTGTGAGGTCGTCGCCACACGACCCCGAGCCGGCACAAACACTTTGTCACTGCACAATCCTCTGAACGACTTCATTTCACCTGCTGAGACGAGCGCTAACCTCGTCAGGACGGAGTCAACGGAGCCACATGATGCAACCTAAAGAGAGGCAGAAACATCATTATTGAGCTGAGCTGAGCCTCATCTCAGTTTGTATTCAGACTTTACTATAAATCTGATCATTCAATAGAATGACGTGAAGAAGAGAGAGAGTCATAAACAGGCGCTGCTTGATTATTAAATCATTTAAACTGCAGAGATGATTTAAAAGGTTATTTCAGACAGAGACTAACTGTGTGCACGGTGTAGATCACTACTCGCCTCCCTCCATCAGCTCCACGTCTGTTTGAGAATCACAGACTGTAAATATTAAAGGACGCAGCCTGAGTGACATCAGCCGTCTGTTCCTGCAGGGGGTCCTGGAGTCCCATCGATAGCGGTCTCCATGCTGGAAATGCTGTCTCAGCCTAATTTCAGTCAACCTAACGGCAGGCTGAAAGCTGGAGCTGAGGCGGGTTTTAAGCCTCTCGTCACTGTAATGTCTCTGTTACAACCACTGAAGAGGGTGCAGATGTGCGATCACTTTTTCCTTCATTATGCGTCCGATTCAGAAACGTCTCAGGGATGTGAATATCACGACAGTCTGAACATCGCGATCGTTGAACTGCTAACGCAATCTGCAAAACATCTTCTGAGGCTGAATAACTTTTTTTTTAAAGATTTATTTTTGGGCTTTTTTTGCCTTTAATGGAGAGATAGGACCGTGGATGGAGTCGGAAATCAGATAGCCTCCATGCATGAGGCGCGCGCACTAACCACTGCTCCACCAGCGCCCCGGCTGTATAACGTCTTTAACAGACCTAGAGGAGACATAACGAATCAGCTGTTGCTGTTAGACCGGGTTGAAGTCCCGGCTAAGATCAAACTGTGACAGCGTGCACATATATTGAAACGCAGTCTAACATGTGATTTAAATGATGATTGGTTGCTTCAAGGCAAATAAAGAGAAACACTTGTTTACACCACCGGGGGGGGGGGGGGAACCCGCAACCAATATGACCCGCACCCAATATGTAAAACCTGTTTGTGTGTCAGGTGATGTTGTACATGCTTACTGCGTACATGATAGATATATAGGTAGATAGATCGATACTTTATTGATCCCGAGGGAAATTCAAAACATGTGCACATAATGAATAAACAAAATGAGCTTTTGATAAAGAGGGGGGCAAAAGGGGTCCAAAGCTCGGGCTAAGCCCCTGGCCAGGCCGAAATGCTAATCCAGCCCTGATTCAGGCTGCTGAGGTCCTCTGTCCAGCACTATGAGTGGTCCAATCCAGACTCCAGTCCGTGCTTATCCACTCCTGTTTCTCCTCCCTCCCCTCTCTGAAAGCTGCGCTGCGATTGGCTGCTGGCTGCTTGTCAGGAAGAAAGAGCTGCTGTGTTGAGGCCGAAAACTCAGACACAAGCAGGAGCAGTTCGACGCAGGAGTGACTCAGAGTAAGGATATTGTCTCGACATGACACCGGGTCTCCGTTTTTAACGAGCCGGGCTCGCCGCGGAGCTGACGCCGATCCTCCGCGCTGCTTCCGCCGAGGCCGCCGCGTCCTCCTCCGCCTTGCCCGCCACCTGAGCCCCGCTGCCCGCTGCTCTCGGTAATCCAGACCCGCTGGCTGTTAACGGGACTGACGCTGCTGTGTGGCGACGCAGGAAACCAACCAGTCCCAGATTTAAGTCTTACACAGACCCAGCGGGGACGTAACGGATCAGCTGTTGCTGTCGGGACCGGTTTAACATCCCAGGTGAAGAGCACAACTCCATGAAGAAGTGCGCGGCGGAGCAGCGTCTCGTTCTGCGCAAGACACTGTGTGCTGTGACTGAGCCGAAGAAGACCGCGTCTCCTCCTGAAGCAGCTCCGCGGGCTTTGACACTCAGGATTTATCTCATGAAGGCGTTTTGAAGCAGCAGTTTTGAAGCTCGTGCAGCAGGTGAGTCCAAAGATTGAACACCTCACAATCGAGCTCTGCTCACCAGCTGCCTCAGACCGGCTGCCCAAACGCACCGGGATATTTTCGGCACGACTTGTGTGTTTTCACTTGTTATTCTAACCTTAAAAACTCCTTGTGCATACATCTCAACGAGGCCTCAATGTGTGTGTGTGTGCATTCAGACTCTATCTTCCAAAAAGAACCGGACAGAAATCGGTGCTTTAATTCCCCCAACAGTAAATCTCCGCGGGGGGGGGGCTGTGTCGGGGGGGGGATTAACAGTCAAGGAGTCCATCAGAGCTCCTCAGAGAGTCCCAGCTGTCACACTCCGTCTGCTTCAACTTCAAAATTAAAGGATCCAAATCTTCCTCCTTGTTGTCTTTGGTTGTGAATCTGCTCATTCTTGTCCCTGGTCGGTCCCTGTGGCGGTGCGCACGCGGATGCATCAACAGAGATGTACGCAACACTGTGCGCGAGCTCAGCGGCAACAGTTGCACAGAAGCAGAGACAGATAGGGAGCATACACCATGCATCATGTGAAATTAGATTACATACTGCATATGCATTATTTAATGCAGCTTTAATCGAATTACAAATGAGATCACTGTGACATCATGTTTCTTTAATTAGTTTGATAAGTTACCACATAATGCTTTTAGTCCAACCAGCTTCGATGCAAAGTTCAGTTAAAAATGAATAAAATCTAAACATCATCTCGCAGATTTTGGCTCTTAATTTTTATTTTTCCCTGTGCAAACTCTGAGGCTCCTCAGACCGTAAAGAAACATTAACTTCAACAAACATTTCAGACTGTTTGTTTAATGAAGCATTCAAATGATGAACAGACACAAAGCAACCAGGAGAGGTCTGCTGGAGTTTGATTAGGGTCATTATTAACGTGTTAGTGAAAATACATTTCTATTTGTTCAGAAGAAGTGAAACGATCTGATGATTTTAAAACCCAAAGATTTTCAGAATAAGAGCCTGGTCCAGTCATTGATTTTAAAGATCGTTTGAGAATTGTGGCAGACCTACGGAAGCCTTGGGAGGACATGCATCCGTATGTTTTTTTATTTTGATGCCTTTTCCCGTGATGTGAGTGAACCTGTGAGAGCTTTCTTTAAATCCTGTGTACTCGAGATAACGTTCGTTTAACTTTTGATGACGACTTCATTTAAAGACGTTTTCTCAAGATCTCAAGAAATGAACTCGTGACCCGGAAGACGTAACTTTTGCATCTTTTTTATGAGATGCAATTTGCTGACCTGTGAGTTGACATGGAGTCCTCCCCCCCCCCCCCCCCCTCTCCCTCGCTGCAGCGTTTGGTGAACAATAACCTGAACATCTTTTTTAAAAATCTTCATCACCTCTTGATGATTTCTCTAATTAAAACAATAGGTTGGTATTTCAGATGTTACGAGCTCCATTTGGACTTCTTTGGAACGCGGTGCTGCGGTCACAGGAAAAGGCCTCGAATGCCAAGTCACCATTCGGAGATAAATCTGCGATTCTCCGCTTTTAATGAGCCCAAGAGAATCGTTCTGATCCTTTAGTTTCAGCCTCTCTCTGGATACATGCTCTCCATCAGAGAACTGAGGAAGGCAGAGATTAGATAAACCAATGGGACGATGAGAAGCTGCCCTGTATTCATGCTGCGTTGGTCCAGCTCCCCTCAGAGACTCTACATTTAGACACGACCTCATCACGAGTCAATAACCTTTAGAGAATCAGAACACCATCGATATCTCCAACGGTCCCTGAACCAGTGTCTGTTTGTCTCCATTAATGGGGGGGGGGTCTGACTCTGAGGGGGGGTCGGACAGCAAACATCGTCTCTGCTGCTTCACAGGCCTCAGACGTGCTGCAGCGACAGACACCATGGTGATGAAGTTCATCGATGTAATCACTCAGATGCTCTGGAAGATAAGCCCCTCCCCCCCTCCCTCACCTGGAGAGACGCTCAGGGGTGTAAAACTGCTGCTTCATGAGGGACCAAGGTGATGCACTGTTGTCGGTCGTGTCACACGTAGCTTTGTTCAGGGTCAGGGGTCGTGTGCGTCAGCTCTCCTCTAGTTTGGATGTTCAGTGTCCTCGCATCTGAAACGTGCAGGACGGTAACAAGAGTGTTCCAGGTTCAAGTCGAACCTTTGGGTGTTACAAAGGAAACGAGGTTCCAGCTTGAGTTATTTTGAGAACAGAAAGCAATGATGCTGAGTGACCCCGCGGTGAGTAAAGTCACGCCCCTCAACCCGGTCATATTTAGGAGTTTATCGCCTCGGTGGCGTCCATGTTTTCCTTTTATGACGAGAACTTTGTGGAGACTCATCTCTGACTCTTTCAGGACGTTAAAGGACATCTGGTTGAAATGTTCTCCCTCTCCTCTTACAGCAGATTAGATTATCTTTGCTGTCGTTGCACAAAGAGAAACGTGCTGAACAATGAAGATTAGCTTCTAATCAGAGGGGCAGCAAAGCTTTAAGGTGCAGAGCAGATCTAAAGAAATGAACGGGTGTAAACGGTCTGCGCATTAACAGTTACAGATTTGAAAAGAAGACTTAAAGGTCACCATGTTCATGAGAAAGAGTTGGTATTGATATTTATAAAATTGCACTCGTGCACATGTTCTCTGCTGGAGCGTGAGCAATAAAAGGTTTATTACGAATCAAATATCCGGTGCAGAGTTTTCTCTCTGATGAAGTTCAGTGACATAAATCATCATTTCATCGTCGTGCCTGTGTGAAAATAGATGATAAACACGCAGCAGAAGACCGCCTGAATCTCCATGAATTCGAAAAAAACGCTTGAAGGAAACACCTTGTTCACACTCGGCATGCAAACATTCCACCAATCATATGTAGCATTAGATACACGGGACGTGCATTAGCCTTTTAGCCTGAAGCTATGCTCAGGTAATTGGCCGCGTTGCCGCTGCTTGTTTGGCTTGCGGTCGGCTGAGGACGGGAAGAGCAGCGACGACAACGTGGTTGATGGAGCAGCTTGTAAAAAGAGCCGGACTCGTGCTCGTGGAATTATTTAAGAGTCAGATCATGTGACAAAGAAAAGTGTACAACATGCAGAACAGCGGGAACGCACGGTAACTGTTACTTGATGCTAATGTTCATACTTTTGACATTTGTTCATCTATTGCACGGCCTCCAAAACGTGAAACTCGACCCCGCACGCTGTGAGGAGTTTTAAATCCTCACCCCAGACGCTGCACGCTGTCCTTCGTCCTGCATGCTGATCCAGAGCGTCGACTCTGCAGAGGAGATGATAAACAGTCATTAAGTGGCGTTAATTCAGAGTGTGTGATAGCGTGTTGGTCCCTGGATTTATTACAGCCAGCTGATGACTCATCAGAGCTTCAGCTTGTGTTACAAACTCGCTGACTGCTGCTTTGATTACGCTATAATGAGAATATTTGTCTTTCTATCAACGCTACGTGTAGTTGAACAGAATCTCAATGTGAACTAAAGAGTGGAGAAGAACATTCTGGAGAACAGGAAACATGCAGCAGCAGGTTCATTAGAGCATGGAGATGGTAGAGGTGACGTGCAGACAGTCTATGGTCGTGCAGTGATCACAGGGAATAAACGTCACCACCCCCTCCCACTCGCTCCAGGTGAATTCTCCTGATTATGTCCTGCTGCGTTCTCACATCAGCTCACTCTGACTTTCTGCAGAATAAACACGAGGAGGCTGGAGGAGAAACTCCGGGTGAAGAGAGAAACATTCAGCTGTTTGTGTTCACACGTGCAGTTTGGAGGTGTGAAAGCAGCAACCTGCAGAAACCTGGATGTGGTGCGAGTCAGAGGTTGACATTGATTCTGATGTTAATAAAGCGAACAAAGTAAGTTTGCCTTCCTGCAGGCTCCGTGTGTTTTCTTTTTCAAGTGAAGCTGAAATAAAGACTCAGACAGAGACACGATGTGACTGCAGCAGGAGCTCTGGAGGCAGCGTGCAGGCGACACGGGTACAATGAGGACACACACAGCACAGTCTGAAGGAAGCTTCACAGACACACGGCTGTCTCTTCTTCTAATCACTATGAATTATTTCTGAGAATATGCTTTTCATTAGACAATGGGAGTTTAAAGTAGAGTTAATGTGTTGGCAGTATGAATTATGTAAGCGATGGGAGGTTATGTAACAAAAGAATTGACAGAAACTCTTTTTATGATTCTGATGCTCGGACTGAAATTTAACAAGTCAAGAAAATGTTCCTCCGTTCTCCTGCAGTGTAACAGTTAGTCATCAGCATGCCTCCAGTTTAAATCACTTTGGACCTGAAAGAAATGGATTCTTTCATTTGAGTCAACAGTCCTGAAGACGAGATGATTTAAACACATGAGCAACGGATGAAGCAGACAAAAATATGAATCAGTGTTTCTGGGAAGCTCTCACAGGAACTGTGAGCCGAGCTGCGTAATAACTTAAGATCAACTTGTTGTGTTTTTTTATAGTCAGGATTCCACTCAAGATAATTTTCTAAGTCTTAAAGGAGCAATATGTAACTCTGACACCTAGTGTTTAAAATCGGTACTGCAGTCCAAATTCTAAACATTGTAGAGAGCTGTCTCCCCCCGCCCCCTCCTCTCTAGAGTCGATGCTCATGCAGGTTGCCATGTGGTGGACACTGAAGCTTCAGTGTTTAGTCAGCTCTGCATGGGTCTGTAAACCTTTCTGTGTTCTAACCTCTCTCCATTTTTCAAAAAGCATCTCCAATATTGATCCTAGTTTGAGCACGTTTCTGCTCGTGGAGCTTATTAGAAACATGCAGAGGCTTTTTAGGTCGGGTACAATCACTTCTATCTGAACCACTTCTCTTGCCCGCTTCCATCACTGCAACACCTGTTGGTTTGACCTGATAACTGCTCTCATATCTGACAAACCGAGGGGCGTCCAAAACGGCCGTGTGGGGGGTGTCTTAAAACCGCCTACCTTCTCTGGTCCAAACAAATCCAGAGCATTCAGGAGCAGAATCTAAAGTTAGAAGGAGG